GTTAATAACCAAAAGTCAGCATCTGATCAAGACCTGGACCAGCTACATTGTCTGACACTCCCTAGTTCTTTTTATCTAGAGACTCTGTATCTTCTATAGTGACATAAATACCTGTCAAAGCTTTAGCAACCTTATTTCAAATTGATCCTAAAGTTTCATGGCTGTTCTATGATATTTTATATCATATCTTAAGTGTTTAAATTGTATAATTTTAATAATTCTATATTAAAGCTTTTCCATTTCTTGATCAGAATGGGGTTTAGTTGTTTTCTCTTATGTACATAAGGCTTTTATATGTCTCATTTTTTTTTTTTTTAATCTTCACCAGAGGATATTTTTCCATTTATCTTCAGATAGAGTGGGAGGGAGAGAAAGAGCAAGAGAAACATATCAATTGGTTACCTTCCACACAACCCCACCAGGGACCGAACCACAACTGAGGTACGTGCCCTTGGCCAGAATTGAACCTGTGACTCTTTGGTCTGCAGGCCAACACTCTAACTGCTGAGCCAAACCGGCCAGGGCTGTCTCCTTACTTTTTAATGTTATAAGACTGTATTTAGTTTTAATCTTTCCAGTTCCATTGCCTTTTTTACTTAACTTATACAGATTTAGATATCTATTACTTGTTCATAAATAGTGCAAGGAAAAAAGAAAACAAGGAACTCATTTAACCAATAATTATTCTCTTGCTCTTAACAACTTAAAATGAATAGACTCTGAGCTCTAACAGTTCTTTCCCAAAGACCAAAGAAAACTGTACAGTATCTAGTAACTTGGACTCTACATCAGAGCCTATGGGATAAACCCTGGCACATCAAACCACTGAACACTATCGGGATAGACTGCAAAACATCTCTTTTCTTAGAGACAATATTCTCAGAGACTGCACTTACAACAAAGATGGTTTTGGAATTTGAAGGAGGTTTTGGAAAAATAATTTTAGGCTGATTTATAAACTACCCAGGCAGTTAAATATGCTCATAAGTTTTGAGAGTGAGGATGCTGATTTTTCCTCTAACTCATAATATTAATAAAGAAGACTGTATTTGAGGAAAGATAACTCATTAAAGGAAGGCACCAGTAACATGCAGATCAGTTGAGTTAACCATGGATGAATGTGATATTTACCTCAACTTAGTGTGCTTCTTTGCAAATCTCTGTGTATAAGGAATTGGAGGGAAAATAAAAAGATGCAAACATGACGGCATGAAGAAAGCAATAGACAAAGTCAGGAGCCCCCCCTCCTGTGTCACTTTCTCTTTCTCAGGGCTGGGGGGGAGGGAGGGCCTTATTACTGCCAAATACAGTGTGGGTCTCCGTGCTTCCTGCTGTGAACAGGAATGGGTCTGACTTAAGGATCTCTAATGTGCTATGACATCTCTATTATCTGTTTACCTCTGTCTGTTTTCTAATAAGGATTTGTTTGGGTTTTTTTTTATATAACCTTTTCACGAAAAGACATTTCTCATTTCTGAAAGAGCACTTTGAACACAATTCTTAGTTCGAATTATTTCTAATGAAAGGAGAACTTTCAATTCCTCTGATCACCTAAGGTCATGATTAGAGGTCTGGAAAGCCTTTTAGGCAGAGGCTGGAGGTGCATCTATTTAGGGATGTTAGCGGTCTATTGTGTTAGCAATTTATTCTTTGGCCGAGGTACAAACTGCACTAGATAATCTCAAAAGTCTACTCCAGCTCTTAGATTTCATCTACCACAGACATCATGCTGTTAAGTTTTTATCTAAAATGTCTCACACCCTCCAGACACTCCGTGGAATTAGAAACTAGCTATGTTTGCCAGACCAAACAGGCTGGTGATTCCAATTGCAGATAATTTGCTGCTCTCTCTAAATTCTACATGAAATACAGAGAACACATATTTCCCCTTTTCTCCTGCCTCCTTCACTCACTGTGAAGAAATTCTCTTTCTCAGGGCTGGGGGGGAGGGAGGGCCTTATTACTACCAAAGTTGTTCTTGCCTGGTTTGCCAAGATTCTTGGCCAAGATGCTACCTAGGGGTGGCAGCCCTTCAGATCAGCCTTCTTGATTAGCATGAGACTTCTCAAGGCCACTGCCTGGCTAGCACCTTCTTCTCTCTCCGGAGGATTTAAAGGCCCCCCCACCCCCCATGAAAATTAAGTAGCCTAAGTATCTGGTTTTGTTAACATTTATTTACTGTTAGGAGGAAATCTTAAATCTTTATGCAGATTCTAATTATTTCAGAACAAGCTTCTGTTTCTCCTGTTCTGATCCCAGAGCTCCCCCTTGTGCCTTGATGGGAAATTGATTCCAGAAAGAAAGAAAGGTCAGCACATTTAGGTCCTGGGGTTCAAGCAGTTTCCTAGGCCAGTTCTCAGACTTCAGTGTGCACCAAAATTATAAAATAAAGTTTTATAAAAATATGGGTGGAGAAATCCACCCTGTAAATCATGATGTTTTAAATTAGCTTTTTAGAAAACTAAAATGCAGAATAAAGTTTGAGACTCTGTCTACAAAAAAAAAAAAAAAGTCAAATCTCGAAAACATGGGTTAAGACTAGTGTTTCTCAAATTTTCACGTGCCAGAATTGCCTTGTGTTTTTGTTGTTTTAATTTTTCTTTTAATCCTTACCCGAGGATTTTTTTTTTTTTTCCTATTTCTCTTCAGACAGAATGGGAGGGAAGGAGAGAGAGGGACACATTGATTGGTTGCCTCCCACATGACCCCGACCAGGGTCAGGGATGAACTGAAAACGAGGTACATGCCTTTGACCAGAATCAAACCCACGACTCTTTGGTCCACGGGCTGATCTTCTAACCGCTGAGCCAAACCTGCCAAGGCTTGCCTTGTGTTTTTAAAAATATTCCTGTGCTAAATACTCAGAGATTCTTTAGATTTAGGGATGGTCTAGAAAATGATTTCAAAATAGACACCCAAAGGTATTCTGCTGCAGGTGATCTTGAGAAACCCTTGAAAAAAAGATTCAGTTCCCTAAGTAGAAAAACCAACCATAGGTCAAAGCAGAAACTTAACTTTTCCTCTCTTCACAACAACCACCTCCAAAAAAAAAATCAATTTCTAGATGCCCTCATTTAACATCATGAAACTTTTTATTATTATTATTACTTTAAAAACCCACCTTGGGATAGTTAAAGAGATATATTTTCTAAAGGAGAGAACTAGTCTTTTAGCCACATCATCTGCTTGAGCCAGAGATCTGAGGGAGGCTTCAAAAATCCTCCAGGTAGACTCCTAGAGGCTAGACCCAGAGAAGTTGGTTGCTAGGTCCAAAAAGGACCTCAGAAGAGCTAAAGAGAACGAGCATCTGAACTCAAAGCCATATAGTAGGACATCAGAGAATGATTAAAGAATCTCTGAGCACACCTTCTCATAAAAAAAATTGTGTGATTTGCTGCCTCAACCTTAGCACAGACACAGGGATCTTCCACCACATGATACTGCGGGGGTCAGAACAAGCCACCCCATGATGTGCCTCTATGGTGTGCAGATTACTCTGAGCTAAAGGCAATTTTAGCTTCAGGCTCAAGAAAAACTTTGGCCCCTCACTTTACGATCTAAAGGGCAGGCCAAGCCTCTATTTACTAAAGGTCTGTTCTTATCACCCTGCAATGACCCTCTGAAGCCTCCAAGGTGCAGTGCCTCATCCCTAGCTCAGAATGTCTTACACACCTCAGTCCTCCTGTCTATCTCTGAACCGCTCCTGCATGTGGGGTCTCTGACTCTCTCATGTATGCAGGGTTTCTGTACATATGTGTGTATTAAAATTGGTCATGTTCTCTTGCTAATCTGCCTCATGTCTGTTTGATTATTAGACCAGCCAGAAGAACCTTCAGGACAGAGGAAAGTTCGTTCCTCCCCCACAATGCCCTTGAGCACCAGACTCCCTCTGTTCATTCCACTGATGTCTTTTACCTTTTATTATGTACTCCTCTCATCACGTTCTTCTCTCACTTAGAAACAGTGAAAGGAAAAATTAAATCATAGATCTCTAAGAACCAGAGAAACATGACTGGCAAGAGGTGAATGCTAGTGTGCCTTAAGCCCCGAATAAGCTTCCAACACTGTATTACCATTGTAATTAATTTCAGGATGGCCAAGTAATGGAAACAATGCTTAGACCTCTGATTTCCAGTCCTGATGGAACATAAGCAGGATAACAATCTCTCTCCAGGGTTACTATCAAAAACAAAATTAAGTCAGTCATTTTCTTTAAAAAAAAAAAAAAACTTTGCTAGCCCGATGAAGAAAAATCTGCAAATCAAACTATGATTCAAAGGTACCTTAATCCTAAAAAGATTAGAATAAGCTACATATTGAACAATGAATAATTGTGAAAAATAAAAATCAGGAAACATTTAAGTGTCAGTGTCACTCAGGCATGAAAACAGTCTTTATTTAAGTTGACAGTCCTCTGAGACCATGAAATTGCTTACTTTCTCCTAGTGTTCCCTCACAAATGAACTGTATGAAACAGATCTAGAATGCGGGCCACTGTTGCCTCAAGGCCAATTAGTTAAATTAACAGTATTATATAGTCTATGGGTCAAACTATACCTTGGTGATTTCACTACAATTCATCAGAAAACTCAAAAGTTACAAATAGATCATACAAAGTATCGACTCTGGCTTCATACCATCAGAGAAACAAACTACACTCAGAGGTTTACATTATTTAATTTAGACCACCCAAATAGTTCATTGTTGATTTAAAAAACAGTATAACTATATATTACTTCAACAATTTTTAACAGCTTTAGACACTCAGGCACTCAGGCAAACAAGACGAGACTATGTCATTGAGGAGACTGGGAAGTACTGAGATGGAGCAGGACCTCTTAATAGGCACCCAGCAAAACCCTACAACCACAATCTACAGATTCCTCAGTTCTCTTTCTGCTTTTTATCCACAGAAAATATGTTGTAAAATATTAAGATTCTAGGGTTTTGCTTTCTCATTATAAATGCAAATGTCAGCCATCATTTAGAAATAAGAATACCTGGGGACTGAAATCACTCCAGCTCCCGGTTTAGCAGGATTACATCTCATCTTCACCGCAGTTGACCGGCCAGTGACACAAGATGTTGTTGTTGTAGAAGACCTATTGTGAAGCAAGCATCATTTTACAAAATATATATGACTCAGATTACAAAGACAAAACTATCCTGCATATAATAAAAAAGAAACATGTCTCAAAGTTCACTAATTTAGCATTTTAATATAAATGGAGCTCATTTTCTTTCACTGACTATGAAAAGTTTACTATTTTCTCAGAAAAGTGATAAGCTATTATCAAGGTGTTTAGTAAATCTTCTGTAATTAAAATAATCAAAAGAAAATTTAAAGGGAAAAATGTCATAACCACACAGGCTGATGTTTTGATGTGTAAATTACAAATACGTACTATCTACACAATAGAGTCTCTTTATTGCCTCATTTTAAATATTATATATGTGATAGAAATTATATAAGGCTTTCAAACTATTCCCTGTTTCCTATTTTTCACTAAGGTTTTTACTTAAGAACCAATTACTGATTATTAATTATAAGCTACTATGCTAGCACTCTGAAGTGACATTCTTTTGATTCAGAAAACTGTCAAGGGAAACCGCATCTTCACTTACTTGTAAAAGAAATGCACATCTGGTATGTGGCTTGGTGGAGCTGGGAACATATCTTCTTTTATATTAATATTTTGCAATGTGGTTTCAATGGTCACTCCTAGATGACAATAAAAATGACACTATTGAGCAATATGGGAGAATTAAGCTTATTTAGTCTCTACATATCTGAATAGAAAACAGCTTTACTTTAATACTGTCATGTTACTAAAGTATTGTATTAAATTAATGCATTCATGGTAATAAGAATAAGAAACTTTCCAAAGTCTCTGAAAAAAGAATAGATTTTACTCCCTAGCTTTGTAATTTTGTTTGTCACTTTACTTCCCTGGGTCTTATGTCCCAAAACTGTAAAATGCATGAAATAAATAGATTATCTTTAAAGTCCTTTCTAGTTTTAATAATAAGCTATTATAATTGTCAGCCTCTCATGAGCTTTATCAAATGAGCTGGGCTATTTTGTTAATACAGCTTCTCATTCACATTCAATACAGGCATATCTGACCTCCCCATCCCCACCCCCCAAAAAACTTCCTGTATCCTAATAATTTCTACAACATAACTCCCAACTTTGCTTAATCTAAAGTAAGGCATTTCTCTCCTGGGAGAAATGATGGCAGAGCCAAAATGCAAGCAATAACAGCAAACTTTGCTGCTGACACAGAGTTCTGATGCTGAACACAAACTCGGCAACTAACCTTGGTGCTGAAAAGTACAGCTGAATTCCTCTGGAATCTGTAGCAATGGCTCTCAAATCTGGTTGCGTATTAGAATTATCTATGAAGCTTGTGAGATTTATTGGATTGTTATATGTCTTTTTAGGTTCTTAATCCCCACCCCAGAAGTTCTAATGAATTTGATCCCTAAGAATTACTAATCAGGGACCTGAATTCTTAAAACTTCCCTATGTTCTTGACACTAGATGACCAGATGAGGAATAAAACTCAACATGTTCACCTTTGTTACTTGTCACCAGCTTGCTTCTGGGATGAAAAGATGATGAAAACTGATGGCAGATATTGTGATTTAGGTTTATATTATATCTGTTTACTGTTATTTTTGTTTCTAGTTTTGGTGTTTTAAAGTATTTTGTCTCTCAAACTGCTAGATGACCTTGCTATAAGGCTGACTCTCAGAAAACACATATCGCATATGAGTTAATATGTAAATTCAGAAGCGTCTTGTACTCACTGAGATTAATCAATAGACCTCACTTACAGGGGCTTTTTAAGTTTGTCATAAAGTGATGATTTAGAATTACCTGTGGGCTTTAATCATCTATGATAAATACCAATGCAATGACAAGTTATCAGTACCATAATTTCAGAAAAATATTCATGCATGTATATATGAACAAAATGAAACTTACCTAAAAATGTGTCTGCCAAAATGATGGATTGTGATGATAAGGCTGCACGGAAACCCTTACTTTCAGAAGGAATAATAGTTGACTGGCATACAAATGCTCCTACCAGATTCGTGTAGTCATCTGGCCCTGCCACCATGTCCTTTACTGTGAAGTCTGTTATGTTGTTGGTGCAGAGAGCCATCTTCTCCCCCTAAAGAAACAAAGTCATAAAGAGGTTTCATTGATGGTCACTCTCTAAACTGGATCTCAGCTAGCTAGTGACTCCAGTAGAGCCCTGGTTCTCTCCTCACCACAATTATGATATATTAGATCTGGTGGGGGGCAGGCTCAGCCACCAGTATATTTTAAAAGCTCTTGAGGCAATTCCAATGTTCAACCAGAGTGGGAGTCACTGAAGTTATGATGAATACACTAATTCAAGGCAGCATTCTCCCTCCAACTACATGCATCATTTGTGCTGGATGAAAACCATCTAATTTAAGGAAGTAAAGTCATCGATGAACTCTTCAGTTCACAGGGTAGCAATGCATACAGAGAGACCAGGAAACTGCTGATTGTGCCAGAAAGGCAATGTGAAGGCTGAAGAAGGAAGCATAAAAGCCATATCGCCACAAAGGCCTAGGACAATATCAAAATTCCAAACAGTTGCTCACTACAAGTGTCTTGATTCACATACTCTTAGATTCAATGATGTGTATCTGCTCAACTACACAGCAAGTTAAATGCAATACACGGGTTTACTTTTTTAGTCATTTGGAGGGTAGTTGAAAGATATAATTTAAAAACTGGAAGACTCATTAAATATAGTGTGTTTAAATATATTATAGCCCCAATGCAAAAGACTGTAGCTTGCTCTTTAATTCCTATGAAGAAATGTATGAAGGAAAATAGGAAAACTGCTTTATGGGTCTTGGAAGTAGAATGTGCACAGGTGGGCATAAAAAAAAAGACTACAGATTTATCTTTGTCAATACAGCTGGCAACCCTTCCTATAAAGTTTTCTCCCTCCACCAAGCCTTCTCACCACAATGCAGGTGCAACATATTTTTACTAAACTTCAATTAAATTGTTGAAGCCAAAAAGAGAAAAAAAATGGAAAAGAGCAGAGAGAAACTACTGAGGAAAGAAAGAGGAAAAGAAGAGTAAACAAAAAGAAATGAGAATATAAAGAGGAAAAAAAGAGAAAGAAGAGGAGGAGAAGAGAGAAGATGGAAGAAAAGACAGTGGTAATACAGGAATAAGACTAAGAAGAAGTGTGATATATAATGGAATTAATCTTATTCACTGCTTGACACAGTGGTAAACATAATAGGGACTTAATACATATTTAATTATTGAGTAAACTAAGTGACTAACCAACTGAGTGAATCTGTAAAATTCGAACAGGATGAATGTTGTGCCATGTAAAATTTATAAATTGTGTTTATAAACTTCTATGGTCATCAAGTCTCTTTTTATTTCTTTTGTACAAAGGCTGGCACAGCATTTCATAATAAAGACAATTAGAGATACAGGAGATAGAAAGAGACATGGAGAAAAGGCCTTGAATACGTATATACATCCCAACCCCAAACTTGCACACTCTTAAAAATATTGAATATATAGTTCTGCATCTCCCTATTACCAGTGTCAATTAAGATTCTGCTTCTTCCCACAGAAAATAAAATCCCATTATTTATTAGTAGAGGCTTCCTGATCAACTGACATTTGTTCCCTGCTTAACTCCTTTTTATTTTTGGATGAACTTCTCCTTGGAAGTCTTTTACTTTTTAAAACACAAAATTGACAATATTATAAACAACCGTAAAATTTTCTCAGACTATAACTGCCTGCCTTTAAAATACGATGAACGACAAGCCTGATCCACTTTTACACAAATGAAAGATCTTCAAAGCACTTAGACCATAGCTCCAAGCTTCCAGGTTCAAGGGACTGGATGAGTGCCTTGATGGACCGAAAACCAGGCAAGGTTGCCCCCTGGTGGAGAAAGTTGCCAACCAACATGCTAGGAGGCAAAAGAAGATCTAAGCACCTAAAGCTCAGTTTCTGACATTTGATTGTTAGTTTCCATACAGATTTTACTGGGCCATCAACATAGAAAATATCAACTCAATCTGAGTTGAAATATTCCTCCACCTCACCTTTGCAGCCAGAACTCACCTCGTGCCCACATAAACTAATATTGAAGAAATGGAAGTATTTTGTTCCTTTGGTGGTAAAGCTGGGGCCATTCATTAATGAGCCCACACTGCTGAGGTTGCTGAAGTCATAGTGCAAACTCTGATTTTCTTTCTCATGGTAGAAAAAGCAGTCACTATAGCAAACTGAGTGGTCCTTTGATTAAGATAAGGAAATGTACAAAAATTAATAATGTAGCAGGAAAGGAAGTATACTATGAAGTGTGTTTCAAAAAAAGTCCTAGATTTAAAGTTGATTTCAGTAATTTCACCTTACTTATATTTTACCATATTAATACATAGAATGTCTATAGGCTAACTAGGTTTTCTTAGGCAAGGTTTAGAAAATTCAAAACTTTTTAGAACAGTTATTCCAAGATTAGTATCTTGCAGAAAGGTATTTTACTAAATAGTCAAAAATACCTGTTATGTCAGTTTAAATAGATGATAAAACTTCTTTCTCCTTCACCCATAATATAGCATCAACCTTTGCACCCTTAAAATGCATACTTGACGCTCTCCTTTACTCCTCCCGCCAACTTACAGAGGTTATCTACTTGCTCTGCCTCAACACAACACACAAAAAATCAATTTTAATTTTTGTAAAGTATTCTTATTTGAGTGCTTTTCTTAATATTTTATGTACCCAGAAACTATCACTTACAAGAAACATATTAAGTAGCTGATCAATAAATGTAAAAGAAGAAAAAACAAGAAAGGGAATGAAAAAGTCATTTATCAATGTAACTAGCAATGCTGTAGCTCCTGCAAAACATTACAGGGAACTTCTGAGTTTCTCTATTAAAATGTGCCTTCCCGGAGAAGACTGAAAAAACGATTAACTTACCCGAGTGCTTCTACTCCCAGGCCCACATGGAATACAAGCCTCCTTGCCATAGACCTGATGTATGGACAGGTAGGTGTCAGGTGGACACTCCTTGCACTGGTTGGTTTCTTTCTCAATGTAGTCGCCTGGGGGGCAGGGGACACACGATGAGCCCGACTGTTCAGAACCGAGGGCACAGGCACGGCATGAGGACGCCACCCCATCAACTGCATTAGTGGCAGTGATAGAATAAATCTTCACCATGTCATTGATGAACCGTCTATTCTAAAAAGAGAGCAGAAAGTAATGACTTCTGCTTTGGGGCTTAATTGGACAACCAGATTGTTTTATGTTGATAACACCCAAATAAGTGGAGTGTTCCAGCCTTATAGTTTATAATTGACAATGAATTAAATTTTTTGGTTCTTTTTTCCTTTAAAATTTTAAATCTTAACACTAGAGGCTAATTTCTACAGTAACAAAGTTCCAGGAGTTTTGTCACAATCACATTGTGTTATAATTGGTACTCACTGGGGCATATTTTACAGATTTTACAAATGGAAGAACTAGCATGGTTTAACAGAGGAGCAGCTTATCTCCCATCACTGTTTACTCAGAGATAAACCCAACTCTAATGTTACAATAGGATGCTAACAGTGTGACTGGGTGGGAAGCTTTGGACTAGGCTTGGAAGACTGAGACTCTGGCCCTCATCCTAACACTAACTGCAATATTGATGCAACCAACTGATTTCTTAGGGCCTCTTTCTCTCTCTTTCTCTCTCTCTCTCTCTCTCTCTCTCTCTCTCTCTCTCTCTCTCTCATACTTTCCCTAACCAACATTCTCTGATGCCTACTGAAAGGGTTTGGAAAGGAGAGAAATAATCTGTGGCTCACTATAATTTTCCTTATTGAGACACTGGGTCAATAAGGTTTTGTTTTCATCAGGCAGTGGGCATCTTCCTATCAGGACAGGGAAGCACTACCCTAGACTACTGAGCAAAGACAAAAGGAAGGCAAGGAAGCATGCCATAGCATGTCCATGCCCCGCATGATGGTAATCTAACATCACAAATACCAACTGGAGTCAAGTACAATCCAGGGAGTGGGGGAAAGCCTCGAGAGAAATGATACATCTGCCACCACACCTTTGAGGCAGCTCTGAACCTTGTTCTCAACTTGGGAAGATCACATCTATGGAGATCCACAAAAATAATTCTGCTACTAATGAAACATACAATGGGATTTACGTAAGGGAGGATTAAGGTCTGCTCTAGCTGGGAAAGTAAAAGAGAGTAAATAATTCTGTGCGTTAACCCAATCATGTTTCCATACACATTCTCCAGGCTATAAAAGGAGACATTACTGTAGTGAAATTATAAACCAACATCTGTTAATGGCTACTGAACAAATGTCTGATCATTCATTCAAATGAAAAGGAAGGAAGTCACCAACCTTCTCAAAGTCTCAGAGAGCTCTAAAAGTATGTTTTTTAATAACTACAAAATTAATGTTCTTTCTCTTAAGCTTTCGGTAACTATAATTGTTCACAGTGTAAAACAATTCAAAGATTCATTGTGATATTCCATTTCATACATTCTTGCCCTCAAAAAAATTTTTAAATAATTTTTATACCAATCTACTCCATAACTGAATGCTTGACTTCACATCAACAAAAAGAGATCTTTTCCTCCAGGAGGTTTAAGTGATCACTTTCTATGAATCTCCACTGGTGGCATCATCTTTGTATTAAAAGTATGTGTGTGTGTATATACATGTATTTGTGTGTAAGTATATACACATATGTGTGTATGTCAATATATGTTGTGCGTCCAGTGTGGCTCAATAGATTGAGTGTCATCCTGTGGGAGACTGTTTACATGGCATCCATTTTGCTAAAATCTGCTCTGCCATCTCCTGCTCCAAGGCAGGATACCTCTGTATACAATGTTTCTGCATTCCTTTAAGTAACCATTTACTCAGCCAGTTATGCTCTGTTTATCTTTTGTTCCACCCCGGATATTTACGTGATATTTACTTACATGATATTTACTTGAAATTGCTTCGGGGTGGTTACCACAAACTTATCCCTGGGCAACAAATGTTCTTGTTTTTCTGCTTCTTGCCCATGCTCTGTTTATCTTTTGTTCCACCCGGGATATTTAGGTGATATTTACCTGAAATTGCTTCCAGGTGGTTACCCCAAACTTATCACTTGGCAACAAGTGTTCTTGTTTTTCTGCTTCTTGCCCTATATATAGTGTGGATCTCCCCAGAATAAACAAGACTTACTTGAAATTGCTTCAGGGTGGTTACCACAAACTTATTGCTTGGCAACAAATGTTCTTGTTTTTCTGCTTCTTGCCCTATATATACTGTGGATCTCCCCAGAATAAACCAGACTTGATCAGAACCCTGTCTTGTCTCCATTTCTCCTGTCTCTTGTCCCTCCTCATCCTCACTCCCCCTCTAGAGTCTTCGTTGCTCGACCTGTGGGATGGATCATGGTCCCATGGACTGAGAGGTCCCAGTTTGATTCCTGGTCAGGGCACATGCCTGGGTTGCAGGCTAGATCTCTTGGGAAGGGGGGGCATGCAGGAGGCAGCCAATTGATGTTTCTCTCTTACATCAATGTTTCTCTCTCTCCTTTCCTCTCCCTCTTAAACAAATTCAATAAAAGTCTATATATATATACTTAGAACTTACATCTTGCCCCTGATTAGTTCTCTGGAATGCCCATGTGAATGTAAATGTTGCATTCTTGAAGATGATGTGGGTATAAGCTTGTTTTTCTTTGGTTCCACCCCATGATTCCACCACGTTGGTACTTTTTCTATTAATATCCTAAAAACAGACATACAGAAAAGCACAAACTCAATATTAATATACATGTGTATGCATTAAAAATATGTATTTACAGCATACCTTGAAGGGTTTGTAAACATTTATCTGCAGAGCATGTAACCCTAGAATTCTCAAAACTTCCCTTCAAGTCTCCACAGGCACTCACTAGCTTAGTAATTACAATGTATCAACCACATAGTCAATATAACCTGAAAGAGGTCTTGAATCATAGTATGTTTAAGGGGTGTGTATGTGTGTGCATGTGTGTGCGTGATTCTAACTTGGAGAAATACACTTAGAAGGGGAAACATAATTCCTTAAACTTCTCACAGTACACTTCATAAAACGTCAAGGCTTTTCATTTTATCTTTTTCTTTGGGAAATTCCAACAGGCAGCTCTTTCACAGAAAGTATAAATTCTCGCCCTGGCCAATTTGATTCTGTGGCTTGAGCATCAGCCTGTGGACCGAAGGGTTGCAGGTTCAACTCCTGATTGAGGGCATGTACCTGGGTTGCAGGTTTGATCCCCGGCCTTGGTTGTGTGAGAGGCAACATTGATGTGTCTCTCTCACATCAATGTTTCTGTCTCCCTCCTCCTCCTCCCCCTTCCCTTCTCCTCCTCCTCTATCTAAAAATCAATGGAAAATATCCTTGGGTGAGGATTAACAAAAAAAAGAAAGTATAAATTCTTGCAACTTCCAGGCTTACCGAAGTGCAGATTAATCAAAATGTTATTTTATGTTCATGAAATATTCTTTTTGCTTATACTTTAATTTTAATAGGATCAATTTGTATAAGATTTTATTTCTGATATCCTTAGCTGAATTCAATATTTAGACTACCATACCAAATGTGTGACATTCCAACCAATATGTTGTCATGGTTAGAAAGCAAATAGAATAAACTAAGCAACTAATGTAATATACATCTAATTTATTTTAAATGAAAACCAAGACTAAGCCTGAATTTTCTTATTAGTCTTCCCTACAGAACCCCTAATACAGGACTTTGGGCTTCTTTAATTATCTGGGATGTTGCAATATGGCGGCATAAACTCAAGACATATCTCTTTCTTTCTATGATATAAACATAGGAGTCAAACACGTTACAAAGCAATCAAATATGCTATAGAGAGATGCATGTTGAGTTCATGCCACAGACAGAAGTAACAGAATGCACTTTTCATACAGTACAGAATTTCCCACATTACCCAACAACCAAACCATCATACCTGCCACTTCCTAAAAGGAGTTCATAATACACAGGTAGTGCCTTGTTAAACACCATTTCTCTAGATGTTTATTCCAATAATAAATGGAATTTATTGCATTACCGCTACTAATACCATCTTATACCTGTAAAACACTATCCAATTTTGAAATCATTTTTATATGCTCTTAATTGATATCTCAAAAAAATCCCATGAGAAGACCAAATTACACAGAAAGACAACTAACATTCTGCTATGAGCTAAAACTCCAATACTGATTTACCAAAATAAATAATTGTAATACCTACCCTCAGGAGTGGTTGGTTAAATGAGAAAGACCAAAAAAATGAACACATTCGCATAATTAAATTAGGGTTTTCTCAAAGGCTTTTAAAAGCACGCTGGAGAGAGTTGTTAATTTTACTTAAATGAATAAACAAAATCTTCCCCAAAGAGATAAAGTTTGAGCTGCCCTTGAAGTATGAACGGGTGTTCACCAAACAAAAGAGCAACGGAAGAATGTCATTCTAACCTAGAGGGGCAAGAGATAAAAAAAAAAGGACAGGGTATTCCACTAACAAATTCAGGTGTCTAAAGAGGGGTGAATAGTCACAGTAGGTTTGGTAACAGAGAGTAGGCTAAGAGTACAAAAAGATACCATGCTAAAGGATTTTAAGTGTTTTTATAGGCTATTTGTTCTCAAACTTTAGTGTGTATCAGAACTACCCTCAAGGCTTGCTAAAAAGAGAGAATGCTGGGCCCCATCACCAGACTTTCTCATTAAGTGTAGGATGGGGCTCAGAAATGTGCATTTCTAACAAGTTCTCAGGTGATGCTGGTCCAGGAACCACACTTCGAGAACTGCTGCCACAGGCAATAAAAAGCCACCAAGGGTAAGGGATAGATTTGTTGTGAATGTCTGTACTATTGTTTTTATGTTTAAAAAGATATTTTGACAACAGCATGGATGAGAGGATGGAGATATGAAGAAAGGACAGGAGGGTACTGTTAAAACATAATAGGAAAGTAAATTTCAGCAATGGCTCTGAGAAGGAAGAAAGACCAACAGATTAAAGAAGTAAGGAGGCAGAGCTGGGAGAATTGAGGACTTACTGGTTATTTGTGGTACAATATAGATAGATGTGTTGAAGATTATTCATCATCTCCTTTTACCACCAAGAAGTCAACTTTTTTTTTCCAGAACAAAATAGTCTGCCTTCATTTAAGCTTTTAGTAAGCATGAATAAATATTTAAATCTGCCTATATCTTGTATGTCACAGAGGAAATTGTTAATGGACTGGTAACTAGCTGCTAAAGGATCTTTGGAATCAGAAAAACAAATCATGTCTATAAAGTCACTACTTAATTTTAATGCTAAAGTCTTAGCCAATAACGTTTTAATGTCCACATGGGTCCAGTGGATATTTAAGCAAAGAATTAAGATTCACAGGACATCTAAAAAGGGGGCCAAAATTATGACATATACATAGTGAAGTCCATTGTCTACATTGATTAAATTGAACAAGAAAGTCTTTTCTTTTTTCCAAGTGTCCACAACAACATTGCTTTCTTCCCTTACTACTAATACATGTTTTTCCCTCCTGATGGCTTGAACTGCTGAATAGCTATTGGGGAAAATTTTTCATTCTGCTGGTGGCATAGTTTTATGAAGAAATTTTCTACCAGTTTACTGTTCTCTGAGATCTGTCAGTTGCCCAGGCCCCCTCACTCACTCCTTCTTCCCATGAGGAACAAATGCTTTCTCTGTGGGTGTCACTGCACAATTCTTAGTGACGTCTTTAGACGTGTTTAAATGTTTTTGGAAAGCCCTAAGCATGGAAAGAAAAATTGGATTCTTATCCCAACTTGTATGAAAAAATTCACACTTGAAAGAGAATGCTAAGCTTCTAGATGTCCAAATCTGCCTTTCAAAGACACTGTCACTTACCACCATGAAGTATAGAACACAGTCAGCAGAACAGAGGGTCTCAAACACAAATGTTATTCTTCCCAGTTCAGAACCCATTGCTCCAGTCATAGATGTTGGTGGTCTATATACAGATTAAAATTACAATATTATAGTGTACTCTAAATACAAACTGGAACAAAACTGTCACTTGCATTAAGCTGAAAGCCCCCGAATCTACTGCCCCCGCCAATCCAACTCCTGCCTCACTCAGTCTCTGCATGGCCATACCCTCTGTTCTAAATGGAGCCTCCACAACCCTGTTACTACGCGTGAATCTCCTGGTATAAATGCCTCCACCCATCCTAAACCAAGGAACACATACCTGCTGGGAAATTTCAACATGGGGGATTAAAGCAAAATGACATTTTAAGACTTGTAACATACTACTTTACAGATAAAACTAAGAGAAAAATAAATATATAAACGATAAGTTACTATGGCAAACAACTTGGACTAAGACATCTCCATTAAGCATCCAAGAATCATGATTACTGTAACATTTGGATAAAATATTGTTAAAAACTTTAAGCTTCATCTAACTAACATACTATTAATAGTTATACTTCCTCAATCACTGATTCTATAGATATTCTTAAATATATTACATACTTGTTATTTGCTAAGGATACCACAATATTAATACATTTTATAAAGACAGTCCGACTCCATCTATTTCTATAGGGAAACAGGCATGAGGATTCTTACAGAAGAAAATCAGAATTGGTTTTCCTTACTTAAATCCTGGGATGTGCAAGTTTAAGATCAGGTAATCATTATCAGAACCTCCAGCCCCGCTCTGGATATGATCTCCAGCCACCTCCCAACCTGGAAATGATAGAGGTCATCATTATTAGCAAAAATTCCATTAATGATTTCTAACAGTGTTTTAAAATAAGGTTTAACAAGACCATTAGTGTTTATGTTCAAAGTTAGAAATTGTCCAAAAGAATTCCCTGTTTTTAAATTGGAGTTGCATATTGGTAGGTGGATTCCAACCCGTATGAGTCTCCAGAAATAATCCAATAATGTATATTTTTGTATGAACGTTATTTAATGAGAAAACTAATAACAGTTTTCTCAGTGAGGCATGATTACCTTTTTTAAAACTAAAACAGATGGTTTTTATTCATTCTAATGCAGTAAGACAGAAAATCCTAGTCTCCAGGTAACCGATGAGGAATGAAGCCCTCAAATTACACAATGAAGATTTGAGGTCTGGAGTGATGTCTTATAGATTTGCTATATTGTTGTTCCCTAATTTACCCTTGTCCTGTATTCATTCACTTATTCATCACTCAATTGGCATTCACTAAGTGCTAAGAACCATGACATGCACTAGAGATAGAAAGAGAAGACTGGGTTTTCCCTCACTGAAGAATCAGTAGAATATGAGACAGAAATGCACACTAGTAATTGTCAACAGTATGGGTGATACAGAATGCACATAGAAGGTGATGAGGGGTGGAATCTGTCCTGTGCACAAAACAATCAACATACCATAGGCTGAAATGGGCACAATTAAGACAAAAGAAGCATCCCACACACACCTTCAAGCAAGGTTATTAATTGATGGCAATGGCTTAGCATTGACACAACTTCCATCTCTAAAAGAAAATGTCAACATCTGCTACATTTTCAATAAGTATAAGTATAAGGGTGAAACTAAGGAAGGGATTAATATCAGTGCTAGAGTGGTGATTTGGCAGTTTTTTGAAATGTTATAATCAGCAGTTTATAGAAAAGTAGTATGTTGAATGTACATAAATCAAACCTAAGGACATAAATAAGTCCTAACAATAATATGCACTAATCTGCTTGCTTGTGAGAGAAACGCCAGTTGTTCTGCTGTCTAGAAGTTCACAGTTAGAGAGAGAGACAAGCAGGTATCAACTCCTAATGATAAGAGTCAAACAGCCATAAAGTAGTGGTCCAGTGGGACGCCAGGCCCCTGACTATACTGTGAGTGACGTGAAAGGCATTTGGGTTCAGGCAGACTACAAACTTGTGGATGGGGTCAGAGGAAGGGAGACATTCCCACATGGAGGAAACCTATACCAAGGGAGGGAGGACTTCAAAATGTTTCTCTAAGATCTCTTCCTAGTAGCAAGAAATTTTGTGAGAAGGGACAGAACAGCAGAGAAGGCCAAAGAAAAGAAAGTAGTACATGGATGGTAAAAAGCTAACTTGGGGTGGAACTAACATCCTTGCAAGGGGAAACAAACATTGCTCGTGTTTTGAACATCGTCTGTGGTTAAAGGTTGACTTGTGCTCTCCACCCTCAATATGTGGAAGTCCTAACTCCCAGAGCCCCCAAATGGATGTTATTATTTGGAAATAGAGTCTTTGCAGACATAATCAAATGAAGATGAGGTCCTTAGGGTGAGCCTTAATCCAATATGACTGGTGTCCCTGTGAGGAGAGGGAATGCTGACACAGACACACACTCTGCAAAGACACAGAGACATGAACACAGGAGAAGATGGTCACGTGAGGATGGAGGAGAGCCTGGAGTTATGCTGCCACTGCCCGGGAATTCTGCAGTTACCAGAAGCCAGAAGCAAGGAAGGATCATCCCCTAGAGGCTTCCGAAGGAACCTGGCCCTGCCAACACCGTGATTTCAGATTGTGTGCATCATTTCTTTCCTTACATCACATTGCTTCTTTGGTATAAATTCCCAGAAGTGGAGTTATTTTATTGGATTGAAGAATGGGAACATTCAACATTCCTGAAACACTACTAAACTCTTTTCCATATGCCTGTCAATTTTAATGACTACATAACATTTCTTTAAATTAGTCTGGCATAACTTTTGCAAACAGTATCCACTTGCTAGATATTTCGATTATTTCCATTTTTGTCATTACAGATAATGCTCCATGAACAGCTTCATAGACAAACAGTAATTTCTCTTCAACTTTGAAGTCCTCTTAGGCAAAATTCCAGCACATAAAGATTTACTTCTACGTGCCTGTTTTGCAATTGTGCAAAATTCAGACGGAGAGTATAGTCATCTCCAAGTACTCCAAGTTACACTCTCAAGCTGGTCAAAGCACATCACTTTGACTCCATGACACATGACTACCCCAGGAGAGGCTGCCCTGGGCCTCTCCCTCTGACCCCCTCCCTCTGAGTCCTGCTCCTCTCAAGGTTCGTTACTAAACTTCCCAGTTACAAAAATACGCATTACCTTTTATCTTTTTATTTTTCACAGTACTAATATTATAGAAATGTATACTTTCCAAATTAATAACTGAACATTTTGGAAAATTAGCAAACATGTAAATTATAGCCTCTAAGTGAATGAGTGGGTAAATCAAGTATTATTATGAAACTCAGAGTAGGAGTGAATTCTCTAAAAGATACAATGAGGGAGAGGAAAAAATGGCGGCAGAGTGAATGGAAGCTACACAGACCATCTCCCAGGACCAAACTGGAATTAAAACTAAAACGCAGACAAATCGTCAGGAAAAGGCAACTGAAAAGCAGCTTGGAGGACCACATAACCAGGGACACTGACTCAATCCTGGTAGGCTTGCGAAGACGTGAGAGGGGGCTGGGAGCCCACTGTCTGCAGTGGCCTGGGCTGAGACCCGTGGTGGTCTCGGCTGGGACCTGCACCCTTTGCTGGGACATGCAGCCCCGGCTGGGACCTGCAGCCTTGGCTGGGACCTGTGGCCTGCGGCCTCGGCTGGGAGTTGCGCCCTCGGCTGGGACCTGCAGCGGCCTCGCTGGGACCTGCAGCCTCGGCTGGGACCTGCAGCCTCGGCTAGGTGCTACGCCCTTCACTGGGAGCTGCCACAGCCTTGGCCTGGAGCGACAGCCTTTGCTGAGAGAGGCACCCTTAGCTGGGAGGGGCGCCCTCCGGTTAAAGTCCCAAAAGGCTCCACAACGCAGAGCCGGGACAGAGGCTAAATTAGCAGCAGCCACTCACCTTGGGCTCCAGCAGAGGGAGGGCAGACTGGACTGGAACTGTGTGGGGACACTTGAAATTTGGACGGCGCTCAGAGTTTTTGCTGAGTTGCAGCCACGCAGGACTGTGGTCATCTTACTCCTTCTCAGGGCCCAGGGGAGAGGCAGCAGCCCCTCCCTCGGAGATTCTACCCCACCCGGTGGCCACTGAAATGCTAATAGAGGCCCATTTACAACTAGCATCTGCCCTAACCCCCGGGAAATCCTCTTACACTGAGCACCTGAGGGAATTTTTTATTCTACTCAGAAACCAAGGTTCTCCAGGTGACCTCTACTAATAGCCTCCAGGCAAAAAAGCTACAGGATAATTACCATCCCTTGGGCTAGCAACTGTAACCAGGAAAGTTAAGACTTGACAGTGGTGTTTAAAGTGGGTTCTCCCTGCCTCATCCAAACCCAGGAAAGGGAGCCACAAACAGCAGAACACCAACACACACACACGGAAAATTTGGCAGGCTCCAAAGCCCACTGTGATAGCCAAAATGGTAAAACACAGAAACAAAAGCCAAATGAAAGAACAAGAGACTGCAACCGAAGATGAGATAAATGAGGTGCAGTTAAGCAAGTTAATAGAATTCAGAGCCATGATCTTGAGGAAGCTCAACAGCATGTGTAAGGACATGAGCACCATGAGAAAAGACATAGAAATGCTGAAAATCAACCACTTGGAAACGAAAAACTACCAAGAAGAAATGAAGAATGACATATTAGAAATGAAAAACATATTGGAAGGTCTAAAAAGCAGAGTAGAGGAAGCTGAGGACTGGATCAGTGAAATAGAAGACAAGGTAGAAAAAAACAACCAATCAGAAAACCAAAAGGAAAACACGATTAAAAAACAGGTAGACAGCTTAAGAGAACTGTGGGATAACTGGAAATGTAATAACATTTGCATCATAGGAGTCCCCGAAGAAGAAGAAAATGAGCAAGGGTTAGAGAATATATTCAAAGAAATAGTGACAGAAAACATCCCTAATTTGGTGAAGGAAGGAGGCATTCAAGTTCAAGAAGCACAGAGAGCCCCAAGTAAGAAGAACCCAAACAGGCCCACACCAAGACACATAGTAATTAAAATGCCAAAAATTAAAGACAAAGAGAAAATCCTAAAAGCAGCAAGAGAGAAGCAAAAGGTTACCTACAAAGAAAACCCCATAAGGCTCTCAGCTGACTTCTCACAAGAAACACTATAGGCCAGAATGGAATGGCATGAAGTAATCAAGGTCATGAAAAACAAGGATCTGAATCGAAGACTACTCTACCCAGCAAGGCTATCATTCAAAATAGAAGGTCAAGTAAAGAGCTTCCCAGACCAAAAAAAAAAAAAAAAGGCTAAGGGAATACGTTAGCACCAAACAACCACTGCAAGAAATGTTAAAAGGACTACTGTAATTAGCAGGAGAAATGGGAAGAAAAACAGAACCACACTAAACAAAAATGGCAATAAATAAATACATAACAATAATCACCTTAAAAGCAAATGGATTGAATGCGCCCATAAAAAGACACAGAGTACCTGATTGGATAAGAAAGCATGACTCATCTATATGTTGTTTACAAGAGACCCACCTCACAACAAAAGACTCACATAGGTTGAAAGTGAAGGGATGGAAAAAAATCTTCCAAGTAAACAGAAAGGAAAAAAAAGCTGGGGTAGCAATACTCATATCTGATAAAATAGATTTCAAAATGAAGGCCATAACTAGAGATAAAGAAGGCCACTACATAATATTGAAAGGATCTATCCAACAGGAAGATATAACCTTGATAAACATATATGCACCCAATATAGGAGCACCAACATATATTAAAAATCTTCTGGAGGACTTCAAGGAGAAATTGATAGCAATACAATCAT